TTTATTTATCTTTTACATCAATGTATGGCTATTTTTATATGTTAGGATTATTTTAAATATTAGCAATTAGATTTGCTTCTCTGAATTAGAATTGTTTTAGAATTTGACTCCTGTTTATGAATGAATATTGATATTAAGTTAATCCTGCTTTCATTGTATACTTCTTATATGTTATATCATGCTGTACCTTTTTTTTCCATTTTTTTATGTTAATCCAACATTGCTACCTAACAATGACTTCATTTAAATATATGGTTTAATTTTTCTCCTTCTTTACCCCGGCTGAAGTAACAAATAGAAGGGTTTAAAAACTATTTTCATTTGCATGGGAATTGTGGAGGATAAACATTACAATCAATTTGTATTAGTGTCCAATTAGGCAGTTTCTAAATGTTACTCTGTTTGTGTTTGCCTTATATTGATCTAGCATATAAACTAATAAATAAAATGCGGAAAAAAAATATAAGGATTTATAGTGATTCACCTTGTAATATTTAGATTTTTACTATATAGAGAGAAAATGGTACAAAAGTGCTAGAAAAAGCTTTACAAAAACAATTACCGGGGAGAGAATTTATTTGCGAAAGAATGAGAAAGAATGGGATGCTTAGGGCATGTATGATGCCTGTGGGACCTTGTGTGGTGCGTCGGTCTGGGAGGCCTTTGTTGAAGAGGCCTTTGGTAAAGTCGTGTGGAAGACAAATAAAAGAATTAGGTCAACTTCTAAAATTTTCATTCTTCTTCGCGTGCAGTAACCTAGTCGGAGACTGGTGGGTATCCGGATAGTATACTGGCTACATCTTCTTCCTCCAATGTCCGATTTGTGCAAATGAGAAGGCGTTAGAAAGCTTATGAAAGTCTCTACATATTTGAATGAACTAAAGGAATAATTTCAGAATTTTAAAGGTCCAAAATAGAGTTGAAATTTAACGTCATGGAAATGATTTTTTTGTCTAACAAAAAAAATCAAAGAAAGCTTAGAATTTTCCTAAGACATTTAATTTCATGCATTATAACATGAAGTACATCATATCATGAACATATATACATTTTTCAAAACATAAAAAATGAACATATATATAACTTCTATAAAATGGCATGAACTTGTTCTCGGCATCTCGAGTCCTCGTCGCGTTCACCTGTAACAAATAACTCGACTTGATATTAGAATTTACTAAATATAACACCATAACATGATTCAAATTAATTCTTAATGTCTATTTCTAAGAATTTTATCATTTAGAAAAATGGGTGTTACATTAGTGATCATTTTAATTTATTTTAATCCAAATCCATCAATTAACTTAAACCTAATCCATTATAAAACTTCTTAAAAAAAAACTCTACTCAACCATCGGATCGTCAGTTCTCAATGGCTATGGCTGTCTATTTATTCATAAGTTGTTGGCTCTGTTTCGTTCATTTGTTTCATTTGTACTTTTGAACAGAAATATTGAAAACTAAAATTATCTTGAATTTCATTGTATGTTTAGTGCTCTGCCGAAATAGAACAAGACCATTTGGTTTGGACGAAAGTTTAGGAAGGAAAAAGAAAGCTCAACTTTAGTTTTTATTTTTTTATCTTTTTTGTTTTTTAGGAAGGAAAAAGACCATTTTGTTTTTTATTTTTTGTTTTGGGTAATGCATGCATTGATCGAGTGCTCTCCAAATTCATTTTAAAGGGTATTTTTGTAATTTTACATTTAATGCCATAACTCCAAGTGTAAACAAGTGTTAAGTGTTCTTTTCCGTAAAAAACTTAACACGGGAAATTTTGATATTAAACCTGGGATCTTTCCATAATTGCTGTAAGAAAACATTGGAAGAACAAGAGTTGCATTTAAAAATGATGACACGCTAACACAATTGCAAATTTGCAAGCAGTTGCAATATCTTGGTCACCCACCTCATTCGTGGAACAAGATAATAGAATATACGAAAATCATCACGAAAATAATTACAAAATAAGTTTGACTCTTATTTTTCACAGTTATTGTTACACATTAAATTTATAATAAAAATAACTATGAAAATGGAACTCCTACATCTTTTATCTAATTTCAAGTACAATCCGTTAAATCTCTCGATGAAGTCGTAATTTTTGGTATCAAAGCCAGAGAAGCTCTAGATCAAACAGTGAATATAGTTTTTACACGCATGGGCCCTTTTAAATTGAAAGTTAGGTTCCTTTTTTTTTCCTTTTTTCTTGCAGTATTGACTAGGGTTTTTCATGTCATATTAGGAACTCGGTCACATTCAATAATCACAATTAAAAACTTTGATTTTCTTTTCTCTGTACGAGCTTGATAATATGGAAAGAATCAAATACTTACTATGACACATAGTTGATTGAGACCGCCATTTGCGCTGACTAATGTGTAGCCATTAATTGGCTATATCTCTCTGTTATAACAAAATAAAACTAAAATGTTGTACCAAAAAAGACCATGAAAGTTAAGATACCTAACATGAGATTATTGAAAGTGTTCCATAGTAATCCACACAGACGCTTGTTGGTATGTCTCTTCTTGACAGCTTGCGATTAAGTTTTTTTCGTTTCACTTTCTCGACAGCCAAACAGAGAATAATAAAAAAAAAAGAAACTCGAAATCAAGAAACAACCAACCTTATTGACAATTTGCTCTGCGACGCCCAACCGAAAGTGAAACGAAAAGAGAGAGAGAGAGAGAGAGAGAGAGAGAGAGAGATAAGAGAGAGATAGAGAGAGAGATTGAGCTTTGATTAGATATTCAAAAAGTCAAGAAACGAAATAAACCTCTGTCAAAGTTCTAGAAGCCAAGTTCCCTACATAATTCCCGTTACCACAAGTAACCTGGTACAAAAAAAGTACACGTTTTCCTTGTTTACTTCACACTTGAACTGCAGGTAACGTCAAGATGAGAATCAAGAGACAATAACTCGTTGAACTCGGAAGGATTAATTCCTCAAAAGTCCAATATAGGACATCTGTATCTTCATTTGAAATTAATATTTTTCATAAATAACATAATATAGACGAGTTAAATTGACGTTAATAAAATAACGGTTTCAATTGCTCGACGCGTCATTTAGCATTTTGTAAGACGTGATTTTCCATTTAAGAGGCGCACCTTACATATTTCTTACTCGATCAAAAAATTTTATTTACACATTAAAATAGTCAAGAATATGTAGACAAAATATTCAACATTTCTGTTTTAGAGCTTTGTGTTGTGATTGAACAGTTTCTTGCATTTCAATTGTTGCTCCACGTTTTTTTTTTCTTTTTCCAGTTTAAACCCTTTAAAGTGCAATCAATTTGTATTATATACTAATTGGAGGAGTCATTGGATGATGACTTGTTTACATTAGATTGATCTAGCGTATGAAGGAAGAAATAAAAAGCAGAAAATAAAGAGACACCAGAATTTATAGTGGTTCACCCCCAATGTGAGGGCTACATCCACTTTAGTCTTTGGTTTTCACTATATAGAAAGAAAGTAGTACAATTTCTTGCTCTTTTTCTTTTTTTCTTTTTTGCTCTATTTTTTTCTTTTTTGCTCTCTCTTTCTTTTTTTTCTTTTTTTTTTTTTTGCTTGAATAGATATTGGGAGACTTAGGACTTGTAGAATGCCTGAGAAACTTTATGTGATGTGTCTTGGATGCCTCCGGTAGCTACATAATTAATTAGGTCGTTCGCACTCATCAACCCACTCATGATATCTGCAAATATTTAAACTTTCCATAAATTATACATTTGTGACAGAGAGAAAGGAAGATAAAAGAGTTGCACTTACATGTCTACTGGCTCCGTTAAAGCTGTGCAAATACAAGACAAGTAAATTCAGATTAATAAAAAAAAACAATAATAGATTTTACACACTCAAATTTATAGAATGATTTATGTTAACAGATTTTGGTCAAAACAACCGAACCTGTAATAGTAACGTACGACCGTTGGCAAAACCAGCAATCTATTTCCGCAATCCGATGCTTTAAGTCACTGAGTGAACAAAAGAATATAAAATTACATGCAAAATAAAGAAGGACACGATCATAAGAATAAAAACTCTCTATGCAAGTTATAATTACATAATGCATTCAACGCTGCTGGGATGATCACATAGAGGACATTTGAAGACAGTGTCAAGCTTCATCTGCTTCATGGGAGGTTTCGTTGTCGCTGCTCTTCTTGACTTTCTCCTTGCCATTCTTCTAAATAAGAGAGAGAGAGAGAGAGAGAGAGAGAGAGAGAGAGAGAGAGAAGAGAGAGAGAGAGAGAGAGATTGAGCTCAATGAGAGGATGTGAGACTTGAGACTTGAGAGAGCTCTGTAGTTAATGGTAAAGAGTTATAAATCGAGTAGAATTAGAACAATAAGAGCACTTGAAGTAGTTAAGGTTTGTAAACTGTATTTTCTGTGCTGATCAATTGTAATCGCTTGGAATTCTACTCCTTGTAGAAGAAGGATTCTTATATTTTCTTTACTTATTTAATTATTTGGCGGCAAAACTATGTATTTACCGTTCCAAAAAAAAGTTAATGGAAATTAAAGTTTTACTTCAAAGTGAAAACTGGAATGGACAGTAAAGGTTTCCAAATTTAAAGTGGCTCTATTCATCTAAAATGACATGATATTTTTTACGCTAAGTATTTCAAGAAATTTATATAAATGTTTTGTGTTTATTCAAAAAGTATACTATCTATTTTGGAGATATCAATTACATACTATAACATGTAAGTGTGTGATTTAATTTATACCTGTAATGTTGATACAGTTCTTTTTCTTTCGCAAATCCACTCCATCGTATTGTGTAATGTTCACCATGGTTTTATTTATTAGTTTACAGTATCAAAAATTTACAATTGTATAAAAAAATTGAAGAAAAGTGGATATAGGACAAAAAAAAAATTGCAACTAATATATGTAGCTGAAAGAAGGGGTAACCATTAAAAAATTATGGAAATATATCTTGAAGAATTGACAAGAATCCAAATGGTGATCATAATTTTGAGAATATATTAGTGAATTTTGCACATGCACTCTGGACACCTTGGTTGTCTATAAATACTTCTACCAAAACCCCTAACACGTGCTCTTTGGCCTTCCTCAATCATCTTTTTCACTCTGTCTTCAAAACTATTCCATTCTATAGTGTCACTTTCCGACAAAATTGCTGCTAATCTCTTCTTGTTAGGCCGCAAAGTAGGCGCATTGCCGCCGCCATAATAGGTTCGAAAACCCGAAACTAAGGAAGATAATTGGCTTCCAGAATCAGTCATGGCAAACACATCTGCTGTTGCACATGCAATGAAGTCCAATGCTGCTAGCTGCATCAAGAGGCCCAAATTAGTAACATAAAAGAAATGATAAGTGCAAATTATAACAATTAGTATGCGTAATTTTACCTGAGAAGAGAAGTTTTGAAATGGTGCGAGTTCAGTAGGCGTGAGAAGAGTTTCTTTTGTGACCAGATTAGGATACAAACTGGTAAAAGAATTCATTCTAAATTTACTACCGTATATGTGAGAACCTGCTAAATATATATACGTTCCACGTTTAAACCCAAGACCAGCTAAAACAAGCCCTGCTTCTTCTGGTGTCAAAGGACACCTCCCTAGCTTTCTCAACTCTTTCGGAGAAACTTGCCTGAGAATACATATTGACTTGAAAAATCAAAGATGAAAGATACTAAATTTTTCAGTAATTCTTGAGACTTGAAAAGGGCATAAGTGGATGGCATGAAATACATACTTTGAGTTCTTCAAGCGCTTAATGAGCAAAGGGAAATGAAGTTCTTTGTAGGCTTGAAGTTCCTTTCTCTCACTCTCTCCGCCGCCAAACTCACAAAGAGAGTAAGCAACCATGTCAACTTCAAATCTTAAATGCAATGCAAGATATTTGGATGGACCATTGCTTGCAACATCGTGTCCTTTTGGAGGTACTCTAGACATGAAATTTCCAAGCAACTGTTTGTCCAATTTACTCCGTGCAGCGTTGTGTGTTCGGATCCTCCGAACCAATAATGAACCGACTTGTTGAATTTTTGGTACAAACTTCAAAGCGTGGAAGTTGCACTTGCATCTCAGTTTCTGTTTGAAAGTGAAATGTTATCAATCATGACTATCGTTTATGATTATGAACCTTGATGAATACTATTTGTATGCATGATTAAGCAATGTTGTAAAAGAAATAAGTCTCAGCAAGAATAGTATTGTCAGAAATTGTTACAAAAAACAAAACGCAAGTTGCTAGCTAAAAGTGAGACACATAGAAGATCACCTGAAGCTCGGAGGGGAATGGATCAATGCCAAGCCGATTTCCAAATCCGAGGAAGTGAACAACTCTATTGCGCAAGAGTAGAGGAAGCACAGTTCTGATATAATCAACGGGTTTTGCCTCTTTCACAAGATCTGCATCAGTTATCTGGAAAGAGGAACATAAAAGGTTTGTAAAAATTGTTTTCAAGCTAAAACTGGTTAGTACTTGATTCATATGAAGCAACATATAGATCAATAAAATGACATACAAGACTACCAATAGCTTCAATGTCAATTGATTTCAAATCAGGCGGTAGGTCCTTTACAATATCTACTTCATCCTTCATGATCTTCATAAAATGCTTCTCTTGGTATATGTTAGGCCCCCTATTACGAGGGTCTACACTAGGAGGGGCAGTAGGGGAATTAGGCAGGAAAAGGGGGAGGAAAGTGGAATTGTTGAAAGAAGGGCTGAGGTGTCCAGTTAGTTAGGATTCTGTTAGTAGTGGAGTATTTAGGCAGACAGAGAGGAGGTGAGAGGCTGTCTGGAATTTGAGTAACTTCTGTCTCAGACCATTGGAGGCTGAGAATATCCAATCTCTACCATTGTTATACTTTTGGAAGGAAATTGCCGTCTTTGGTTGTTTGGCTGGTTGTTAATAAAGAACTCATCGATTTAATTGAATATCGTTATATCTTCCTAGGGAAGACATTGGAATCTGGACAGGAACGTAACAATTTGGTATCAGAGCGGTCATCCATGGCAGACGCTTCCGGAGAGCAATTTCCAGGGGAAGAACTGGCTCGGCTCGAGGAGAGGATGGGAACATTTTACGAATCCTTGCAGATCGTGGAGGCGATGATGGAGCCACTTCCAAAACTACAAGAAGACGTGGCTGAGTTTGGCACCCAGATGGGGGAAATGCGAGGGGCGGTGAGGAGGTTGGAGAACCTGCTTATTCAGCAGGCGGAGTTGCTCCAACGCAACCAGCAACCTCCCCCAAGGTTTGATGCAGGGCCTCAGCGGTTCCCTGACCTACGCCGACCACCGCCGAACGTGAGGCCGGTCTCGCCTCCTCCTCCCCCTCGCCACGAGGAACCTCGGCGATATGAACGTGAGAATCGTCAGGAGACACCTCCCATGCCGAGGGGTCGAGCGGAGCACCGAGGAAGGCGACTCGAGATGCCCTTGTTCCAAGGAGATGATCCCCAAGGTTGGGTGTTCAGGGCCGACCGGTATTTCGCCGTGAATGACGTGGAAGACGAGGAGAAGGTGATGATAGCTTCGGTTTGTTTGGAGGGGCGAGCCCTGGGTTGGTTCCAGTGGGCGGACGCACAAGATCCGTTCAGATCTTGGCAGGAACTCCGAGAAGGGGTGCTACGACGGTTTGGACGCGCGCGGGAGGTGGACCCGGTGGAACAACTGATGGCTCTCCGTCAGCGATCTACAGTGGCGGACTATCGAGAAGAATTTGAGAGCACGGCGGCGCAAATGCAAGGGGTCCCAGAAGTAATTTTTAGAGGGGCTTTCCTCCATGGACTGAGAGAGGACATACGGGCCAAGCTGAAAATGCACAGGCCCAATAACCTACAAGGAATGACGGATTTGGCCCAACAGGTGGAGGCCCGAAACGAAGCCGCGGACCGGGTCAGGAGGAACAGAATGGGTCGGGGGCCCAGATCGGATGGGTGGGGTCGCTCGGGGGGATCAGTCGAAGGCCCAAATCCTACCCCATTTTCACCAGAAGGCTCCCTTCGATCCAAAGCACCGAGTGACACGGCACAGGGGCAAGGTACGCGACTAGGGCCGGGATTGGGGACGCCGACACAGTTCGGAGCCGTTCCGGCTTACCGCCGGCTCACGGAGGATGAAATCCAGCAGCGGAGGTCTAAGGGGCTTTGCTTTAAGTGCGATGAAAAATTCGGCCCTGGTCATCGTTGTAAGAACAGGCAGCTACAGGTGTTGATCCTGGCGGATGAGGAGGATTTCTCAGGAGAAGACGGGGATGAGGGCCCAGAAACCCGGTTAGTGGAGGACAGCGGAAAGGAAGTCACAAATGAGAAGGTGGATTTGTCCTTGAACTCGATGCGTGGGGTCTCGTCCTCCAATACCCTGAAGCTTCGGGGTCGGATTGGAATACGAGAGGTCGTGGTGCTTGTGGACAGCGGAGCAACCCATAGTTTCATCTCAGAGTCGGTGGTGAAAGAGTTGCAATTACCAAAGGATTCCACGGTAAGTCACAATATTATAGTAGGGAATGGTTTAAGTTTTAAACAGGTTGGGGTCTGTAGAAGGGTGAATGTGTGGATCCAGGGTCACTTGGTGGTCGAGGATTTCTTTTCCTTTGACCTAGGTGGAGCGGACTTGGTTTTGGGAGTGTCGTGGCTCCGCACCCTCGGTGAAGTGAGGGCGGATTGGGCAAGGTTTTTAATGAAATTCCGGGCGGGCCCAACATGGGTTATTTGGAAAGGGGACCCTAGTTTATGCTACGCCCCGGTCAACATGAGCTCGTTGGTCCGGTCATGGTCGCCAGATGGGGCTGGGGTGCTGGTAGAAGTCTGTGAGTTCTCAGAATTAGACAAGAATGAAGGGAACTAGGAAATTCCAGAGGAAGTGAGGACCGTAGTTGACAAATTTGCTAAGGTGTTTGAGACCCCAATTGGACTGCCACCACACCGAGGGCGGGACCATAGGATTATGCTGAAAGAGGGAGTGGATCCACCAAACGTACGGCCTTACCGTTTCCCTCAAATCCAAAAAGGAGAGATCGAACGATTAGTGTCGGACATGCTAACCTCTGGAATTATACGGCCAAGTAACAGTCCTTTTTCCAGTCCGGTTATTTTGGTTAAGAAGAAGGATGGGAGCTGGCGATTCTGTGTAGACTATCGCGCGTTGAACCAACTAACCGTACCTGATAAGTTTCCGATTCTGATGATCGATGAACTGTTGGACGAACTCCATGGGGCGATGGTGTTCTCAAAACTGGATTTGCGGGCGAGATACCACCAGATCCGAGTGCATGAGGCAGACGTCGAAAAGACGGCCTTTCGCACACATGAAGGACACTATGAGTTCCTTGTCATGCCTTTCGACTTGACAAATGCCCCAGCCACTTTCCAGGCTCTTATGAACCGCATTTTT